GCTTCATTGGCTGAAGAAAATGAAATAATTATTGCGAGTGTACAGTACCAGAGGAGTGGTCATGGTCGCGGTCAAAGAGGGAAGGATAAGCGCCGGGTGACAAACACAGACAAACACACTGTAAAATCCTTTTGTACTCTTCATTATTGTTCCAAGTTCTATAAAAGCTTCAAGTTGATACCTATATCATAGCTTTATAGACGTCTAATCTAACGCCCCCATACTTTACAACTCTTTTCACTCCTTTGCAATTTCATACCCTCTATCATAATCGATATGCAACGTTCTGCTTCTCCATTTTCCATGTAAGTCACATACTTCCTCGCCCCAGCCCCTCCGCCAACTCAAAGCCAGAAACAGCCATGCTTCATACGCTAGACGTATCGAACGCCGTTGCGTTCAGACCTGGAAAACGATCACACAGGGTGTCAGGAAACCCGAACGAGCTTCATTTATACCTCCAGGCTTTGTCCTGCTTAACGCAAAGCGACGCAGTATCATGTTTTCATGAATGGCTACAGCATACGGGCTTCTTAATTGACGGACTTTTTCTGTATCACTATCAGTGTGGACTTGGACTTTAAATGTATCTGTCTTATGTAATTACTGTTAGCTAAGCTTGTAGCGAACACGTGATTCTTGTTTCCTTAACTTTAAACTTGCGCGCCATGGATCAAGAACAGTACCTGGCTGCTGCCCAGTCCCTGCAGTCACTCTTTGACTCTACTAATTCCGAGCTGGGCATCGTTCAAAGCGTGGCTGATCTCAACTCTCATAAATTTGAGAACGATGACGACGTTTCAGACGCCGAGGATCTAGAGAATAAAGACCCTGCGATGGTAGCCGCAAATGTTTCTTTCCAAATGGTGCGTCTACAATCGCTTTTTGCGAAAAGTAATACTTGATGGTTATTGGCAGTCATATCTTCGTAAACTGAAATACCAATACCTGGAACAAAATGCTAAGCATAAATACATTAAATCCATCGTCAGTGACATCGACGACGCGCCAATTGTCACCGATAATGAGAACAAGCAACTGGAGCGGGCAAATACGGAGCAAAAGGAGAAGCTCAAGGTGGCGAAAGCATCGCTGGCAGAATTGCATTCGGATATTCGAATATTGGCTCCCATGGTCGAAGAAGGTGCGCGCTTCAACTCACGTTGTAGTCTCGTCCAGCAACTCAGCCAATTAAAGATTATGTTCGAGTAAAGCAAGCTACGGCAAAAGCCACAGACCTCGCTCAAAAGATTATTGACGCTCGCTTGGCGCTGTCACGACTACGACAGTCCCATCCACATCCTCGTATCACCGTTCAAGCCGCCGACAAAAAGCTTGAAGAGCAAGTGGAGGAGATGCAGGCGCTAACAGACGAGAAGCAGGTTGTCGAGGAGAAAGTGAACGAAATCAAACGCAAACTCAAGTCAGAGACATTGGAGGTGGAAGGCTTGAAGGTACAGAGGAATGAAATCGAGAAGAGTGTCAAGATGTCGGAGAGTGTAGAGGATGACAGACGGTTTGTGCCGTTATATGACTGGTTCGTTTTCTGTTTTCCTTTACTCTAGTAGCCTACTGACTTGTGTTCAGGGTCACAAACTCGCTACAGCTACATCGCTCATTGCAAGGTTTAGAAGATTTCGAAGCTGCTTCGGAAAACGAACTTCGGCTGCGGTATCGCGTAGAAGATATTCATGGACGGATCCGCCCGGTGTCCATCACCTTATTGTTTGTTCCGAATTCGAGACAACTGGCTACTGTTAATGTGCAGGGACTAGAGCAGTCAGAGATAAACATTACAGACATCATTGACACTCATGTGGAAATGAACAATGTTCGTGGGGTAGTTGCGACGATTTTGGCTCATGTTAGGGAGGGACTATGACGGCGGAGGGACTATCAGTATTTCACCAGTGATTTAAGGGAATGCGTGTATATATGTGTACATCTTAGTGTGTATCTTTTTCCTTCGGCTAATGTATATCTGCTAAATAGGCCACCCCTCAAGCTCGTAAACTTGATTATTTGTCGTACAACGAACTCAAAATCACAAGTCGTATGAACTTGGACCGTCAAGCTTCGATCTCAGCGACCCGTCTTTAGTCTGCAGGTCCAACGCTACTTCGAGCAGATTCCAATCCGTAGGAATGGCGAGTCTATGCTTACCATATTTCTAACCCCAGGTTGTCTCTAGTGACGCCATGAAACGACCCGCGGGCGCCGTGCTTGCGAGTCAAGTTCTTTACCCCGAGATAAAGCTCTTTAAAAAGTTTCCAGAGAAGCCGATAGAAGCTCGAGCATGGTCCTGACGAAGATGCGGTCATCGCCTTTCCCAGCGGTTGCTATCGGCTCGTTTCGAGCTCGAAACCCGACGAAAAGGACTTCATCCGGCGGCCCAGGCTGGTACCAGGCCACTAAAGCCAGTATTTTTTTTCTTGATGCGTTGGCTAAAACCGGCTGCCTTTCTTCTTGCTTGGTAACAGCCCAGTAACGACGGAAAGGGCATCGGGTTATAAAGATGCCTTTGACTCTTCCCAAGTCTCTCATTTCTTTCCCTCTTCCTCTCTTCTTATTCCTACCCTAGCTGGTAGCTGGTTGCGAGACTCGTCTCTTTCACCGTTCCCTCTCTCCTCGTTCCGCTTTCTCTCTTTGGACCTCCTCGCCTTCACACCGACATCGGCAGCGCCGCATTCCTGATTTTTTGTTGCTTGCATTCTTCCTCCTAGTCGAAGTATGGCCAGAATACTCCTGGTGATTGCTTCAATCCTTTCTTCCGCTTATGGACATGCTATCATTACCCTTGTGAGCGGAGCCAACGGTGTCACGACCAGTGGGTTTGGTGTCAGCAAGTGCATTCTTTGCGCAGTTCAAGCCCCATCTTTAATTAATTGTCCTTCTAAGCTACAGATGGTAGTATCCCTCGCAACGGAACGACGGAGCAGCCCTTTCAGCTCGACACTCCCGTGCTCAAGAACCTCGTAGATGGTATCAAACTCGGTGGAATCTTCAAGACTTATGTTTTCTAACAATCATCCATGCAGATCCTTGTGGTGCTACTCTGCTGAGCGGCTCGATTGGCATGGAATCTTCACTTGCTACCGCCCTCCAGCAGGGAAGCGGCGATCTACCCTCGGTAGCGGAAGATGGATCAATCTCCCTGACCCTTCATCAGGTTAATGCTGATGGCGGAGGGCCTTTCTCTGCCATGGTCAACACCGACGCTACTGGTCAGACTTGGACAGCGGCTTTGATCACTCAGCAACCGCCGGGTGCCAACGGTATCCTCAGCGGAGGTCCTGTTGACTCTCAAGTTACCGCTGCCCTTCCAGCTGGAACCAAATGTACTGGAACGAGTGGTTCAGTGTCGAACATCTGCCTGATTCGACTCAGCAACGGTGGAGACCCAACTGCCGCCTCTTTTGCCAACGGCGCTGGTCCGTTCGGAGGTTGTTTTGCGGTGACTACTTCGGCCAATTGTAAGTATCTTGTATTTTGATGCGAATTTCTTTGATAATTCGCGAAGCGACCGCTACGAACTCTACCAGCACCACTTCGACTGCAACTACTACTGACACAGGAAAGAAAAACAAGAATAAGGGACGGTCTCTGGACGCGATAGGCCGACTGGTCCCGGGCTTACTGCGTCGTCAATCGCAGATGGAAGAGCTCATTATGAGGCATCGTGCTCTCGAACAGGATCTTGAACTCAATATTCGTGACCTGGCTGAGCGCCAGCTGCTGACTGTGGCAATGATGGACGAGATTGCGGTCCGTTTAAAAGCTTCTGTCCACTCGAATGCTGCTCATTGTTGATCTGTCTAGACCGCAGTTGGTACTGCCGATGACGGTGAATTAGCCATGGTGTGCTTTGTCCCCTGCTCGAATTTGTTCTCAATATTCGATTACAGTCCCCGTTGACGCCTTAGCTGGCCAAATCGACGGCAGCGCCACTGGCGGTAACTCATCCACGGCTGCTGGTGCCAAACTCACTCTCCAAGAAGCTGTTGACCTCAAAGCAGCACTCAGATCTGCTGTCGAAAATGTTCTCGCTGTATTCGCAGCCAACCAGAACGCCTCTCTCGCCACCGCTGCCTCCAACTTTTCCTTCACAGGTAACTTGAGTACTGTCAGCCGCTCCCATTGCCAAGCGATCCTATCCGTTTCTCACATTTATTTCTCCTCAGGAAACTGTTGCTCAAGCCAATAGCGACGCTTTGGCAGCTCAGGCAGCTGGAACCACAAGTATCAATGCAGGCAATGCAGGTGTAGGCGAGGTTCAGACTGCTGTCAAGAATTCACTTTTGGGAGCAGGTACTTTGTTTCTGAATTGTCGAATCTCGTTTTTTCTAGTTTAACGCTTCGTCTTACAGCGTCTGATGTTCAGACAATTACCGACGGCGTCGACCTTCTCGGTGCTTCACCCACTGCTGCCGCCGTAACATTCACCAGTGTTAGCGCTTCCAATGTCATCACTGCCAATTCAGTATCGGCTTCGTCTGCCATTTCAACTGGAGCGGCGACAACTAATAAGAAATCCAAGTCCTCTACAACCAATAACAACGTAGTCCATCGCAACGCAATCAACAAGCGAGTTTGGAGGTCCAGAATCATGGCTAGGATGGCTACTGGTAACGCGGAGTAGACGGTTCTCTGTGAACTCCCGAGAAACGACTGTCTGGGGTGTACATGACTAGTTCAGTTCTTTTTATCAAATTTAAGTACATTCGCACATGTAGCATTGAGTATCAATGATAACACCTTTGATCTCTGTTCATACAGGTCGAACGCGGTCCATGCATTTGAAATTTGATGTCTCGAAAGCTTTTTTCTGTTTCTCATATTTTGTAAATAGATCAATTTTTGGAAACTTGAGAGATCGCAAGGAACCTCGAGGACTAACAAAGTTACGCCCTTGCAGTTTGGGTTGTGTATATTAAAAATGAGAATGCTAAGGAAGAAGTTTCTACCATACAAAGTCAAAAAAATAAAAATCACAATATCATCTGCCCCAGAGAGGCTCGAACTCTCGACCTTCCGATTTCAGTTGCAATTGTAACAGTCGGACGCTGTAACCAACTCAGCCATGGGGCATTAGTTTAGTAGGCGTGCTAAATAGACCTAGATGCACTCACGCACGGACCTTGGCCGCACTGCTTATTTCTTTCATCGATAGGAGTGAGATGTTACTTTGAGGATACAATGTCACATTACACACCTCACTATTCAACGAATGGGACGCCTCAGTTTAGCGTCAATCAATGCTCAGTGAAAGTACAACAATTATTGTCTATGATGGGACCAATCGTACAAACATTACATAGAACGCATAAACAGAATGCCGAGTGAGGGGATAGACTAGGGTGTTTCGTCAACTGCTGAGAACACTACAAACGGGTCCGGCGTCCATGCCGATTTACTGCTCATTTACGAAAAGACCCGCCATGCCCATTCCACTCCCAACACACATACTCGTCACGAACACTTTCTGATTATCGTGTTTCGCGATGTTCAGACCGGTAGCGACTTGTCGGGCGCCAGCTACAGTGCGAAGATTGAAAGGTGAGAAGATAGACGTCAGTTATCGTGAATCATTCAAAAAAGGATTGAAAATTGAAAAAGGTAGGACTCAGGTAAAAAGTCCCTGAAAGAGGAGAGGCTCGTCAAGAACGGAGAAAAAAAAATTACTCACTGCATCCGAGGGGGTGGCCGATGGCGATAGCACCTCCCCATTTGTTAACCTTTGCTTTAGCCGGATCGCTCTCCTTCCAAGGGATACCAAGCTGCTCGCAACAGTAAACAGCCTGCGATGCGAACGCCTCGTTGATTTCGAAGAAGTCGACATCGGACATTTGCAGGCCGGTCTTCTTGAGGACCTGAAAGCGGAAAGAGTGTGTCAATTCCTGGAAAAATTTTACATGCAATTACTAAGATTACGCACCTGAGGAATTGCGTACGCGGGTCCGACACCCATAATTCTTGGGGGAACACCAACCGCCTGAGCGGCGACAAACTTACCGACGATAGGAAGACCGAGCTTCTTGGCTACACTCCTTCTGGCCAGAAGTACGGCAGCGGCTCCATCCGAAACCTGACTCGCGTTTCCAGCATGAGTTGAGCCAGTCTTGATGAAGGCAGGCCTGAGTTTGGCCAAACTCTGCGCTGTAACCCCATCCCGGACACCATCATCGTAGTCTACCAACAACTCCTTGCCACCATCAGGCGATTGTTGCTTGGCGCGGATTGGCAGAATTTCGGGGGCAAAGAAATTTTGTTTCTGGGCTTTGGCAGCCTTTTGGAAGGAGAGGGCGGCAAATTGATCTTGGGTTTCACGAGAGACGTCGTAGTCAGAAGCAACATTCTCGGAAGTGATACCCATGGGGATGAGACAGTCTTCGGCTTCTTGATTTTCCATTACGAGTTCAGAGTAGCCTTCGGGGATCGCACCTGCGCCATAACCGTGTGTCATTGATTCCACGCCAGCACCTGAGCAAAAAAATTAATGGCTGAATAATCAGTTCTTCGCCAGATACTCACCGACTCCAATGTCAATTTGGCCAGATCGAATGCTATTGGCAATCTGGCTTATGGCAGTAAGACCACTCGAGCACTGTCTGTTGACCGTGGTGATGGGAGTAGCGACAGGAATTCCAGCAGCCAAAGCAGCCATACGGGCCTGGTTAGCACCGCCGGAAGGTGGAAGCACGTTCCCCACAACAATATCTTCGATCAAAGCGGGGTCAAGGTTATTCGATTTGTAAGTATGCTTTAGGACGTGCATGAGGATTTCCTCAGGACGGGTATCCTTAAAACCGCCTTTCTTTCCCTAAATCCAAAAAAATGAATAAGGATTGGGTATTGGGCTTGAATCAAACTCGCCTTTGTCAATGCGGAACGAATAGCAGAGACGATGACAACATCGTCATCGTGCTTCTCGAGAATCTTTGCTCTGGCAGCAGACATTTTACGACGTGAAGATGGTGGTAAGAAAGCAGGAGGCGTCCAAAGGAGTTGAAAGCTTAATTACTTACTGGGCGGATAATCACGAGCCAAATGATTTCACCTGGGCCCGTGTCCTGCCGGCGTAATGCCAGTGGCACGTGATATTTTGCATTGGGCCGAGCTTTCACGGAAAATAATCCGGCTATCGTTCTTGCCGGTTCCGGAGAGTAAGTACATGTCTTTCTTCAATTAGGACGATCTCCTCCGTCATAGAAATCACCCGGCTCCTGAACTTTTCCATAATTTATCGACAGTGAAACCCTGGTTTTCCTACATAAGCGTTCGGGAGGCAGTACATATATATCAAAATGCGCAAGCCCATTCATTGAGCATTTGGGACTGATTGATAGAAGAGAAAATCATCACAGATAAGCACGCGTTATAAATCTATAAACAAATTCTACATGTATGTAATATCGCAACGATGGCCTACAGTAATATATCTTCTACCAAAATATTGTCATCCTGAATCAGACCAAATCCCACTCGTCGTCATCTTTGTGTTCCTCTCCGTCTTCGAATACCTCTTCAACAATTCCGACTTGTAGCTCACTTCTCACCTGATCCCTTCGCTTCACTATATCCCTTCCTAGCGACACTTTGGACGGCCGACGCTTTGAAGGCGGCTTGGAATGGGAATTTTGGGAGGTTGCGGAGGCTGTAGCGTCTATTTTCCCAGGGCCGATTGATGGAGGAGTGGCCAGAGGCGAAGAGGAAGACGTAGGAGTACTTGCAATAGCTGCAGCTCTTGGAGGAGGTCGGCTCATAGCTTGCAATAACTGTCCGAATTCAAGCGTAAAAGCTTGCCCATGCGGTATGGGCCGTGAGGGGGGTGGAAGGCGTGGAAGCGGGAAAGAGCACGGATTGGGAGTAAGATATGCTATGGTTTCGTGTGAATGTCTGCCCAATGGGGCGCTCCCAAAACAAACCGCCCATAAATTACCAAGGACATCTCCTGCAGCCACCTGATGAAGAGGAATGTTTACGCGTTGAGTGTACGCGAGATAGGCGACGTTATAAAGGAGCATGGCGAGGGCTGTGGTAAATGAGCTAGAAGATTTCTTATTGGCTTCTAGTATGATCGAGGCGTCTACTCCGGCGACGTTGGATAATAACGTCGAATCAGAAGGCGAGCTCGCAACATCAGAACTCGAATCCTGATCTCTATCCGTGCTTGCATTCATGCCAGGCAGAGTAATAGACGTAAACGGAGAGGACGGGGTGGAAGGTTTGAGCGCTTCCGAAGAAGTTGTGGAGACATGCAAAGGATGTTTTCCCTCCCACTTTGCCCAGCCTCCGTGCTCTCCACCGATTCCGTTGATAGCACTGATATACGGAACGCCGACACCCAACTTTCCTTTGCCCCAGGTAACGCTGAAAGGCAACTTGACACCCAGATAGAACGCTAGCAAATTGATGAAATGAGTGGTCAGAGTTAGGACGGCATTGATATGATTTGGAGGGTATCGACGCATATCGCCGGGCAGAGGGAGTGTTAGAGTGCCGATTGACCAATGCGAATGAGCGCCGTCGTGAGATATACCGAAAACTTCGACAAGCTCCTGTACCAACCCAGTACGAGCACGAGAAATGGAAGAAGAAAGAGAGGCGAGCGAGGTGTATGCTGAAAGAACGGGAGGTGGGAGCGGAGAAGGAGAATGACTTGAAGAATTCGATGCCGATGAAGAAATGCTGCGGGCAGCTGTTAGCGTCTGCCTGCGTTCAGCCAATGTGCTTCGAAGGGTTTGAAGTTTTTCGCGTGCTGTATAAAACATTGACTCGGTGTCAAATTCGACTTAATCAGAACCGACCTTGTTCATTAGCCTTCCTCAACTTCGCCAAGCCATCGGTCAATTCTGCGACTCTTCCTTCCATGGACGAGACTTCTGCGCGACGAACTCGCGCCACTGATATTCCAGATTCGAGAGCATCGACTGCTTTAGTGACTGCGGCGTCTCTTTCGAGGGCGAAATGGGAAATTTGATGGCGAAAGTTCCGTAAACTGAAAAAAAAAGAGTGAAGCTACAGATATAACAGAGAAAGAGAAAGCTACTCACTCTGTCTTTACACAATTTTCGCAAACAAAAGTTCGCTGCTGAAGTTGGCAGTTTTTGCATTCCATGGGGGCATGGTGGTAGTGAAAAGGGTGATAAGCGCTGGAACTGAGTCAGCGTCTATTTCTAGGCGCTGGATTAAGCGCTCAAAGGTAAAGTGACGTCACCTTCCTGAAACACTGATAGACAGGTAGACCTGTGGGGCTTTCTTAAACTCCAACCTCGACGTACCCCCCCGCAATTCGCTATGAACGACACTGACCGTGGCCGCCCGCAGTCCAGAGCTCACTCTCGGGCCCCATCTCGTGCAACTTCTGTCTCTCGCGCAGCCGGTGGCTCGACACTGTCGCGTTCTCAATCCCTTATTCGGAAGCAAACTTCTCCAATTTCTCTTCGACCATCAGATATTCTTATCGAACGATTCGTCGCTTGGAAAGCCATTGTTAAACAACTGATCCTCTACTTTCAAGGCCTAGCGGATATTGAGGCACATACGGCAAAGGAACTGATCAAACTTGGTGGAGTTATCCAGCTACCTTTCAGAGCAGGGAATCAGTTTTTAGGTGAAGGAGGTCTGCAGGATGTTTTTTATGGCTTAAGGGAAGAAGGTATCAGAGCTGTGGCGGAGGAACATGCTGGATTCGGGAGGACGATTGAAGGAAGTATTGTCAGGCACTTGGAAAAACTCAGGGGAGAGATCAAGATGCACGTAAAGGTGACAGCATTTCCTTCAAACATATTCCTCGATTACCGAACCTTGATTAGAACATTCAAAACGATACCGGTAAACTAGCCACAACCGTTTCTCGCGAACGCGAACTATCCACTTCCCTCATTTCCTCCCTTGCTACTTCGATCTCGACCTACAAAAACACTCCCCTTCAGTTAGCTTCTCACCCCAAATCTGACCCATACATTGCCAATAGGGAAGTCCAGCGTCAGCTGCGCAAGCAAGTCAACGCGGAAAACTTGCTTCAAAAGAGTATCATCATAACTCAAGCTAATAGCGCGACTTTCGAACAAGGCATAGTTCAAGCA